CGTCTCCCGACCTCCGGGCGCTCCGGGCCTTGGCTGAAGCATCCCGGGAAGGGCCCGAAAGCCCCAGGAAGAACGGTGAGGAGCTAGAACGCCAGCCAGGAACTCACTCCTCTGGCGCTGGGCCGGCATCCAGCCGCGCCTTGGGGTGGAGGGGAGGGTCGCCCGTCGCATCAGCGGGCGCCCGCGTGGATCCCGGTCGTGCCTTCTCGCTTCTGAGTGCCCCACGGGGTGAAAGCACAGCTTTCGCCCTGGCAGCCCAGGGACACCACGTGGGACACGATTGGGGCGGTGGGGGGAGGGGTTTTGCTTTATTTCATAGCCCGGCTGGAAGCTTCCAGATGGACGCAGCCCTGCTCCTCTGAGGTCATGAGGTTGCCGAGCACCCCGGCGGCTTCTAGCGGCCTGCTGGGAGCCCCGTAGTGTACTCACTCTCCAAATCCAGCCTGCATCTCTATGCCTCCTAGCTGTCATCTATGCTGTTCCCTCTGCCTGGGGTTCCCTTCCCTTCTTTTTATCTTCTGGGAGACATTCTTTAAGCACCACACTGGAAAGCCTTCCCAAGACCCTCGAGAGCATGAACTTCCCCCTCCTCCGTGAGCTCCTGGCTCACGGATCCTGCTTCTACTGAGGCTAGTTTCCCTCTAGAATTGCTATGGACATTTCTTTCCTGCCTTGGTGGGAGGGGGGGCGACTCCTGGAGGGCAGAGGGCGAGTGTTTATTTCAGGGTCCCGTGCTTAAGGCGGGACCAAATGAGAGATACAACACATTTGATTGAATGAAGTCATTACTTATAGCACCAATAAGTCTTCCCATAATGGTAACTAGAGGAACAATGATATTAATTCGCGTGTGCCTGGTCCCAGTCTAAGCACTTTTCACTTCCGCAATCAATCTATAAGGTAAACAGTATTGTTATTCCCACTTGACAAGTGAACAAACTAAGACCTAAGGAGAGGTTAAGGAACTCAACCCAAAGTCACGTGGCCAACCAGCTCATGTCTGTAGGATGAGCCCCGCTGCAGAAACCAGCCTCGCTAGGCGGCACACAGTAGGCACTCAGGAGATGCCTACTGTTTTGCAGCCAAAGCTTACCACCACCATTCTTCATGTGGACTCTGGACAGGGTCGGGGGTGGATGTCTAAGGTGTGTGAGAATCCACACCCGCACTGCAGGAAGCTAATTGTGGAGCCGAATGAGCTTGTCAGATCAGTCACAGAGCCAGGAGTGGGAGCCACTACTCTCAGCCAGGGCCCTTGGGACGGTGCAGGTCACCACTGTCCCCAACACAGGGGTCACCTCTGTCTGGTGAAGACTGGTTACTGTGGGGGAGGGGCATCATGTGAATGGGAGGCCTACAGGTGACTTGGTAATAACATCTATCAACAGGTACGTTTGGGCAGGCATCTAATCCTTACCACAGTCCCATCGTTGTTACCATTTTACAGGTGAGAAATATCGAGGCATTAGAAAATACAGCGAACCTGCCCAAGACCATATTGCTAGTGACTGATAAAGCCTGGACTGTAACCCAGACCTGTCACCACCAGAGTCCACGCTCCCATGCCCTGCCTCGGTGCTCCTCCCCATCAGGCTGCAGTGGGGATCTGCCCCAGTGGGACCCAGGGTAGCAGGGCCCCAGCGGGAAGGGCAGAACCTGTCACGTCAGACTCTCCAAGCTCGATGAGATGCACCTGGTTGGCAGCGGTGTTCCAGCTGCCCCGACAGGCCTGGCTGGCACAGGGCACGGGCCTGAGGCCAGAGCCTCTTGGCCCTGGGCCAGCCCCTTGGGACCGAGGTAATGTGGGGCCCCGAGCTGGGGCTAAGGGCTGAAAGCCCCTCTCCCCAGCTCATTAGCAAACATCTGGGCTCAGGAAAATGACCGACCTGGAATGTGAACAGGCTGTGGGGAGCTGCTCCCTCCCAGAGCCCGGGAATGTGAGCTCCCTCCTGCAGGGCACGGGCTCAGGCCAGCTGTTTCCTCTAATCCTGTCAGTCTGGCCTCGACAGGGGTCCAAACCTCTGCACTCTTGCTGGAGAAAGAGAAGGAAAACAAGCAAAAGCCTTCCTCCCCAATCCCGGCTCACAGACTCCCTCTCTCTTTAAGATAAAGACTGAGAGCCTTCACACTTCCAGGTTTGGAGCTGGGAGGAGCCATTAGGACTCCTGGAAGATTCTGAAGTCTCCCTGCTTGGGTTTGAGCCCATACTCCATCACCTGCTGCAAATTATTTTCCATCTGGGCTTTGGTTTTCTTACTTGTAAAATGCAATTATCAATAGTATATTCTATATTCAAATCAAGTATATTCCTGATTTGTTGTCAGAATTCATTCATTCGTTTAACACATATTTATTGAGTCTGCTTTGTGCCAGTCGGGAACAGAGATATTGGAGATATGACAATAGACTAGACCAATAAGGTCTTAGCCTTCAAGAAGCTTATATTCAGCGACAGGGAGACAGGTAGTATAACAAATAAACAGATGAGTGGATGCCACATCATTGAAGTGTTATGGACCAGGAGCCATGGCTCCACCTGTAATCCCAGGGCTTTGGGAGGCCGAGGAGAAAAGAGTCCAAAACCAGCCTGGACAACACAGCGAGACCTCGTCTCTACCAAAAATTTTTAAAAATCAGGTGGGTGTCGTGGTGCTTGCTCAGGAGGGTGAGGTGGAAAGATCACTCGAGCCCGGGAAGCTGAAGCTGGGGTGAGCTATGATTGGCGACAGAGCCGGACCCCATCTCTACAAGAACAAAAAAGGTGTTATGAGGAACTAAACCAGAGTAGGTGAGGTGTGGGGAAGGGATGGATTTGCTGAGACACAGCGGAGACACAGCGGAAGACATCTCAACTAGGTGACACCAGGTGAGATTATGAGACAGAGCCAGGAAGAAGGAGATGAATGACTGCAAAGTGCTCAGCAGAGTTCCTGGAAATAGTCCATGCTCCATGAGATGCAAGCTACTTTAGGGAGCTCCATATATATAGCACAGGAAAGGCACCAGAGTCAGAGTCCCTGGATCAAATCCAGGCTCCAGCACAAAGCTTCCTCACCTTATCCAAGTCATGCACTTTCTGAGCCTCCGTTTCCTCATCTGGAAAATGGGAATTATAACAGTCCCCATCCCCAGGATTACCGTGAGAATTCACTGAGAGCCAAGGACAGGAAGCACGTAGCCTAGCACATGCCTGGGTCTCCGGAAGCGTTAGCTATGATTATTGTTGTACTTCCCTTTCTCATGGGGGAAGAGGTTTTGCCCAAGTTCACTCAGCAAGTGAGTAGTGGAACCAGGACCAGAACCAGGTGTTCTGATTTTGAGCCCCTCTCCCCAGGCTATACCCCCTAGTCGTTTCTTCCTGCTGCCGGTGGGTTCAGGGAACCTCTAGATCGCATCTTTTTTTTTTTTTTTTTAGATTCGGGGGTACACATGCATATTTATTTATTACATGGACTTATTATGTAGTGGTGGGGATTGGGTCTCAGGTGGCCCATTCCCCAGATAGTGAACACTGTGCCCCATAGGTAGTTTCTGAACCTTCCCCTCTCCCCCCTCCCCCCTTGGACCCCATCTTGGGCTCTGAGGAAGCAGGAGGAGATGACAGACACTATGCAGTCTGTCCTCCCAAGGCCTGCAGAAGGTAGAGAAAGTGAGGATGTGGCCTGGACAGGAGAGCAGGGATGGGGGTGAGGGCAAGGGGTCTTTGGCTCTATGGAAAAACTTAAAATGCTTTGTAAGTAGGGTGGAAGACCAAGAATTAAGAAGAGGGATAAGCCGGATGTGGTGACTTATGCCTGTAATCCCAACATTTTGGGAGGCAAGGTGGAATGATCGCTTGAGCCCAGGAGTTTAAGACAGGCCTGGGTAACAAAACAAGACCTTAACTCTACAAAAATTAAAAAATTAGCCAGGCACAGTAGCTCACACCTGTCACCCCAGCTCCTCAAGAGGCTAAGGTGGGAGGATCGCTTGAGCCCAGGAGTTGGAGGTTGATGATTGCACCACTACACTCCAGCCTGGGCAGTAGAGCAAGGGGGGTCCAGTGCTAAGCATGGTAGGGAGGAAAGAGGGGAGGGTCAGAGATGAGAGCTGAATTCCAGGAATCACGGAGTAGAAATGCAAACCTGAGTGTACCAGTTGTCCTTCTCCCACCTCCAAGAGGCTGTGCAGCATGGGAGTCAGGGCTGCTTCCCTCTCTGTAAACATGAATGTGCAGATGTTACCAGGAGCCTGACCTGGGTCCCAGGAACAGAACGGGGGCCGAGGGCTAGAAGGGAGTGCGCCCACCCCACCACCACTCTGCTCCCCACTCACTTGCTTCCTCTTGCCCATGACAACCCCCAACCCCAAGGAGCTGAATGCTCTGTTTTCTTTAGCTGGGATTGTCTGACCTCACGGTAACAGCCACAGCCTCTGTGTGACAGCCGGGCCCAGGCTCTAGAAGAGGGCCTGATGCCCAGAACTCCTCCACAAAGCCAGGCGGGGTGGGCAGCATTCAGTTCCCTTCTGAATTTTTCAGTAAACTAGACATATTGATGCTTTTCCAATGTCACTTTCCCAGGATTTTTTTCTACTTTGTTTCTTCCACATCTCAGCTCCAGTGGCCCACATCTGTCCATGGTGAGTGGGAGAAGAATTTTTCTCTCTCCTCAAGAGTTGGTCCTTCTGTGCATTTTTAATATACCACAGAACAGCAGTTTTTGGTTGTTGTTTTTTTTTTTTAAGGTTTTTGTGCTCCAGAGAAATTCGTTGAGGGAAAAAATCCTCTTTTTAGGTGAAAAAGAATTCACACCTGTAATCCCAGCACTTTGGGAGGTCAAAGAGGGAGAATTGCTTGAGCCCAGGATTTGAGACCAGCCTGGGAAGCACAAAAATAAAAAACATTAGCCGGGTATGGTGGCACACACCTGTAGTCCCAGCTACTTGGGAGGCTGAGGCAGGATGGCCTGAGCCCAGGAGGTCAAGGCTGCAGTGAGCCATGATCGTGCCACTGCACTCCAGTCTGGCTGACAGAGAGAGACTCCAACTAAAAAAAAAAGCCTGACCAAAACAAGTGTTTTTTGGACTACTTACAAGTGTCCAGCACAGTGCAAGTTACTAGAGAGAATAAGGCACAGGAGCTGCCCTCTAAGGGCCCACACATCAGCAAAGGAAAAGCTCATTGCCAGGGAAGTCACCCAGGCATGAGCAACATGGGAGTTCAGGGAGAAATCTCAGGGAACTGACTTGGCTAGAAAAGGCTTGGTGGAGGAGGTAGGATTTGAGCAGAGGTTTGAGAAATGAGTAAGAGCTGGGCAAATCGAGAAGGCAGTCCATGCTCAGAAAGAAGAGGACCTGTAAAAAGGATTTGTGTTTGACAAGTATGTGGCTCTCAGACCTCCACACCACCATAGCAGACACCACTGGTATAACACTTTCTTGATTGGCCAAGAAGCAGTCTCAGAATCCTTCTTTTTTTTTTGAGTTAGGGTCTCACTCTGTCGCCCAGACTGGAGTGCAGTGGCCGCTCCTGGCCACCACAGCCTTGACCTGCTGGGTTCCGGCGATCCTTCTGCCTCAGCCTTCCAAGT